GGTGCAGTCATAAAAGTCGATCCTGGGAACTGTTACTTTTTCTTCATCATTTTTTAAGGAAGAGGTCACTAGAATCGAAAGCCAATGACTCGCTGGTGCTCCAAAACCAGAGACTTTATTGAGTAAGTCATTATATGCCGGCCATTTTTAAACTTCTCTTATAAGGCGGTGCCAATGTTTCAGAATTTATCAAACTTATTCGTAGAGGTCTAAATAGGCGTGGTTATCCTGTTGTCCTTCTCTACAGTGGAGATTTAAACATGGTGCAAATGCAAGACCTTTCCACTAGGTAAGAAAAGGAGATATTTTCCTATAAGCGAGCAGAAATACTCACCACAACCACTCGGTTTTCTCTATGCGAGTACTTCTTGGTGCAATTTTCTGTTGATTTAAAATAAAATAGTGAGAGTATCCCGCATAGAATTGAACGGTGAAATCAGATTAAGTGTATGTACAGCCTGATCTAACAAATATAACAGTACCAGAGCTTCTGCATATCATCATCGTACACACTATTAAACTCTTCCCACCTTCAGCACTCCATTTTTATTTCCACTGGCAACCATTTAACGATAAAAGATTGGTAGAAAGAAGAATGGAGAATGGAAATACCTCGAGAGGTCTGCCACACTACCATCTCTTTTCGGACCTAAAGCGTATCTCACATCGCAGTTTAGTGCTACTAGATTTTAACCTTTTTATTTACTGCCTATTTTTTTTTAACGGCAAGGTATGTTGCGAAATATAACTGCTATAATGCTGAGATATTTGCAGAGCTTCGATAAAAGATCGATAGAACTAGCTGAGAGATAGGCGAAACGAAGGACCCGCATGCTGTGGTGGTGAACGCGTTACTGCCCGCAAAGGGCAGTAGCGCGTTCGTTCTCCAGCGCAGACACCTGCGGTCCGGAATTTTGCAAATATCTCAGCATTATAGAAGCTACTGGGTTTGTTTAGTAACTGAGTGTAAGGATCACATCTTTGAAAGGAATGGGTATTCGTAGGATGGGCTGGAATGTGTTTTAACAACTGGTTAAATATTAGGGTTAAAAACCATGTTATCCTGTCCGTTGGCCCGTCTACAAAGTGGTACCGAAAACCAAGTAGTAAAAATATCTTGGTTCATTACCTCTCCTCTCACCCCTCTCACACGAAAAGGGCGCTTATAAGAAACATGTTTCGAACAGCAACCAACGTGTGCACGGGAAGAGAGCAGAGAGAGGAGTCCCGGAACTTGGCACGGCAAATAGCCGTTTCTAATGGCTACGAAACTGTAGCTCAGAATAGGTGTAGAGGAAATCGTAGGCCTCCAAACGACAACTCTAGCGATAGAAGGGTCCCGTTTATCCTACCCTTCATCTCAAATGATATAAGTACAGCTATAAAACGCTGCTTAAGAAGGGCGGGCTTAGAGAATTCGGTGAGCGTAGTTGAAATACCACCGAGTAATCTTAAGCGCCAGCTAGTTCGTAACCGCCTATATGACCGTCTATGTGCAACTCAAAATTGCATAATTTGTCCCAGTGGTAGAGACGGTGGTTGCATGAGCTCGGGTATAGTTTATCTGATCTCCTGTAAGACGTGTGGTGACGAATACATTGGCGAAACGGGTAGACCCCTCTGTGTCCGCATGAAAGAACACCTAGCCGGCTAAAATAGACCAAATACCCCGCTAGGAACGCATAGGACCCAGAGACATAACGGGGAGGACTTTGAAGTACGTGTCACGATCCTCGCACAAGAATCAAGAACACAGGCGCGAAAAACTCTCGAGGCACTCTGGATTAATTCCAGAAATCCGAAAATGAACCGCAGGGAAGAATGCCTCATTATCACGCGTGATATAGGGCAGTATATAAAACTGCTTTTCTGATATGAGGGGCACATTATACTTCCACGTGATTTCTGTGCGGTTGGTCTCTACGTGACATACTTAGTGGAAACCTCATAGAAAGCGGTGAGTGTGCAAAGCTGTGTTCAAAGTGATTGAAATCTTGGTTTGGAGTTTCTTTGTTTGGTTATTGAGGCGTCTGGCCGAGTGGATTGCTATCAACTTGACCTTTCCAGGCTCTGAAGAAGGCGAAATCCGCCGAAACGTCAGCTTAATCGTGAACAAAGAATAGTAACACCTCGCGTTTGCTCAACAAAAATACGAAAAAATACTGACTTTCTACCCTCTTGACCTCCATAAGTCATCGTATAGAGCAAATACGTACTGAACTACCTCTATGAAGCTCAATAGAGTCAAACACATACTGCGTCCCTCGCAAAGCCGGAAGCTTCATCTTTTATTAAAAATTGTCAAAGAAGCACATGCCACTGCAGACACCAGTGAGCATCTGGATGCTGGTAGCGGCTAGCTTTTCGCCAAAGGGTTAAAAAGACCACCATACCAAAAACAGCATGTTGAATGTCCGTTGAGAGAGGGAAGCCCATCAAGTAGCTCTGATGTGCGAGTGCGACCATAGAGCTAGCTGATGTACACTTACTTTTATGGTTAACCGGATTACATGGTGAGGATGAACTGTGTGAGAAGAACCACAATTTCTTAACTTTTATTCACTGTTTGCTGTTTCTTCATAGGATGGTACGATGTAAAATACAGCCAAACGAATGCTGCGATATGAGCAAAACTGGAACCCCAGATGGGTTTCGAATCCGCGATCACCCTTATCGGGAGCTCACTTAGTTGACGAGCTCATTTTCGCTAACGAATGATTACTAATAGCACTAAGAGAGTAGAAACGGCCAAAAAAAAAAATGCAAAGTTATAGCGTCGTTGGTACGGAGGATAGCACTTAAGCTACTGGTAGAGGCAGTCACGTGTTCGAAACCCAACTGACATTCCGAGCTTTGCTCAAATATGATCATCACTATGGATGTGAGAAAACGTTTTTTTTCTGCACAACTTCACTTCGGATCTCGCGCGGATTCCAGCACTTCTAGTATTCCATTCGTTCCTTCGCATCCACCATCCACAAGAATATTCGAACTTCTGTTTGTGAACTCAGCTGCTACTTGAGAGTTTTCTCGCGTTCTTTATGAATATTATTGAATGGTGGTCGAATGGATTCCCCCTGGAATCCTGGATTACTCGCGCGACATATCCATGACCATCCTCACAAAGTAGGCCTAGCATCGTTTCTCAGAACAGAACATAAGGAAGATTCTTACCTATCCATCAATACACAAATCAAGTAGAAATTCATGGAGGAGAACAACTCAATTGTCAGAGTTCGGGGGAATCGTTTGTCTCTTTTCCAATTTGCTTCCCACGACGATGGCGGAAGCCATCGAAAAGTTAGCTGACTAAAACAATGTGGCAGCTTTCACTCTCGATTGGAAGAATATTACCCAGATGTCTAGGCTTCGCATAACGAAGCGGCTGGTATACCCTCTTTTACCCTATTTCCTTCCTTGAAACAAAGGTCCATGGGGTGGTTGGGTTCATATGGTGCTCCGACAAGGTTCTGATCAATCACTGTCTTTCCTTTTCATTGAAATGATAAATGGTGGTCAAGCATGATTCACGCTGAAATCCCGAAACAGTCATTCTTTGGCATTCACGCGGAAGCAATTTCCATGGAGTCGGCATTCCTTACGATGTCGACTTGACTGAACAGCGACTATGTCACAAGTTTTGTCGGCAAGAATGAGCTGTGTAAAACACAAACTGTACCACTTTTTCTTATGGACATCAAGAAATAGTCATGCAAAAGAACCAGTGATCTCTCACTGTCGACTTTCTCGGTGAAAACTGGTGGTTCGATGAGAACACGGGTGCTAGCCCAGGCTCAACTCCCTGTATAGTGAAAAGGAATAAAGTGTGCCCTTTCCGAAATGAATTTTGATCGCTCTAAGGGAAATAGCTGATAATCCTAGCACACCTTCACGCATATTTATTGACTTCAACAACTAATAAGTAATCAAAGAGGTGCTCCGATTCATCCAAACACTATTTAAATTCAGCGGTAGCACAATAATTACTTCCTTAAACACTTGGATGGCTCATCCTCACCGGTTGTGCGGGTCCTACCAAACTTTCCACTTTTTCAGAAAGTTGCAAGTTTAGCTATTGTGGTTCACTGGAATGCCGAGATCGGCATGGCCTGTGTGCTCTTGTCGTCACCACCAGTGGCAGTCACAGCCCTTTGTGGATCAGAGGGAGATTTACCACCATGCGACTTTGATATCAGTACGGTGGTGGACCCTGGTATTGGTTTACTTTTAGCTAGGCTTCCTTATGAAAACGCTAGGCTCCTCAGCTTGGGAGACCGTACCCGACACCCAGGAACACGTTCCAGCCACGATGAGGCGGTAAACCACTAGGAGGAGTAAGAAAATTGAGTTTTGTATATTGGAATTGTGAAGCAAGGGGGTGAATCCCCTTGTTGTACATCGCTGTACGACACCCAGAAACACCTTCCAGCCAAGACGAGGCGGTAAACCGTTGGAAGGCAATATTATACTATTGACAAATTGAAATTGTGTAAGAAAACAGGGAACCCGATTTTTTTTTCAATGATGTTTCTAAGTAATTCACATGAGAACATACATATACGACTACTCGCATCAAGTCAAATACCGCAGAAATCATGACGTACAGATGAAGATTGTTGCAATGCAGATGAACAATACCATCTTAGTTAAACTGAGGCAGGCATTTTTCCATTTTCTTGAAATATTATTACTGTTATTATTATAAAAAAATAAATTGATATAGAACAACAATATGGCCTGAAGTTCTCCACTGCCAGGCAACATCAAGAATGTGGAGGTACCTCATAAACTGTGTCAGCTAGAAGGTGTCATAATGAAAGATCATAAGTCATTTCCACTTCTTTTACTCTCAAGAAGAGCTTAGAAATTTACAACGAAACGATAACCAAATGATCGAGGGGTTCACATGAGTTACGGTCGACGAAAGTAGATCTTCATAATACCCAAGCCGTCCTTGGCGATTGGCACCAAATGAAAGTACTGCCACTATACACATTTTATTACCACCTCAAGTACGGTCGATTGGCAGGTATCCATCGATCCATAACCTCCCAAAACACTCTGAACCGAGCTTTATCCATATGCCGCTTTGTTCGTGATACTGGTAATCTCGTAACACTCCACTTCGCCACATTTGGATCAACCTAGAACCAACTGACGAAATACTAAGAATAGAAATTTACAACAACACTCAAATTCTGGCATTAGTTTCCTCAAATAAAAAGTACCGTTTTCGATATCAAGGCAGATCCCGGAAAAAGACACTGTTGCTTTCACCCCATATTGTGACATAAAAAGCTTTAGATGTTATTATTCAATTCTCAGAGTCGTCAATTAGCAGAATACGGTGTACACTGACTGAATGGTTGAATAGCCAGAATTTTGCACAAGAAAAATCTTGAAAATCGTATCTTCATAAGAAGTTTGTACACATCACAGCGATCCAGTAAATAAGTAAAAAAATTAAACCAATCATAACGAGATTTTGTATAAGTTAAGATTCTCACGTTAAGGTCGTCGTAATGAACGTGAAATGCGGGAATCTTTGCGAATATCTCCACAGGGTTACTGTGCCACCGTTTAAACGGTTTGAACTGCCACAACTGCCCCTAAACGAGCAGTACAGCATTGCATTCGATAAGTAAGCCAAATGTTCACTGACTGACCGTAATGAATACCGCAACAACTCGATCCCATTCTGCATCGGTGAACTTGTTCGGCTGATCCACGACCAAGTAGGGTACTAAAACAACAATCACAGTAGATTTACATCACAAGGAAGAATAGATTCTTGAGAATTAAACAAATAAATTCATGAACGATTAAAAAGCCCTAGGCGTCGACCAATCGCTTAGGAATGCTCCATGCATTCGACTTCATTCAGCATCGTAGGAGGTGATTGAATGCAAACCAGGCCATTACAATGACTCGCGATGAACTACCGATGTATCGAGCCAGTGCTCCTATTGTCCCAGACAAGTCTGGCACCAATTTGCCTATCCCGAAGGAATGAAGGGCTTTATGGACTTTGGGCGTGGGGATTGATCCCATGTATATCGTAGGGCGCCTCCGATCACTACGCCACATGCTCCCAAATACAAGCAGAAATAATGTCTTATAGCTTAAAAGTAGCTTATCTGTTGTGTCGTTTTTCTTCCGCTGAATGTAGATCTGCGACTTACGCTGCATATTTTTCTCTTTCCGCTTCTCCTCTGTTGTCACAAAATTCATGTCCTAAATATTTCTGCTTAAAACAAAATAATGACTATTTAGGTTATATTAGTTCATACCTGAATAATATCCGTAGCGTTAAAGATTGTAAGCAATGATGTAATGGCAGATGGTATTATAATTATCGGAGTTCGGCTGATGCGTTTCTTTGGCTCATCGGTAGAATTCGTGAACTGAGAAATGGTAGGGGCTAGTGCTGTTCTCTTTGCTGAGTCATCAACCTTTTGAGTTTCTGTCGCTAAAACAAATTCCGACACATTTTTGAAACCTTTGGATTCCATTCTCATTTTAAAAATAACGCCTTAGATCTCACTCATTCAATCACATAAAGGAATAAATCAACAAAAGTCATTTCAAACTCAGCATTACCCAGAAATTTAAGATGCTAAAACAAAAACAACACTTACAATATCGACGGAAATTAAAGCACAAGAATATACTGGTTCCATAGCGAAATAATACTGTTACTGAACCGACTTTAACTTCATCACGGGATAAAAAATCAATAAAAAAGGATAAAGGTCTAGGCGTTGGTCAAATCCCCGGGTGATATGCGCCATGCATTCGGCTTCATCAAGCAACATTTGGAAGTGATTGAATGCACATTTGGCCTTTACAATGGCTTGCTGTGGTCTACCGATGCATCGAGCCATGCTGCTATTCTCCTAGACAAGTCTGGTACCAATTAGCAGAGCCTAGAGGGATGGAAGGCTTGGTGAGGCACAGGCGCGAGGTTCGATCCCATGTGTATGTAGAGCTCCTCCGACCACTGCGCTACATGTGCCCAAATAATAACCAATAGGCTTAACAATTTAGAGATACACATTGGTTTTACATTTAAAAAGACTTCTACCTCTAACATATAACGTTGAACAGGTAGAATTTGGTAAGTCCCCTCATGTATGACGCAGCAGGACACCATCAAAAATTGATCATTAAGGATATTACTAAAGAATAATAACGGGGTTCATGTTTCATATACAAAAGAAATACTTTGCAGTAATTCCCAAGACCGACTTCCTATTATCTTCGTAATTATCAACAATTCGTTGGTTTCTCAGTAAGTTCACATGAGGTTCTTATTATACTATTTATTGATAATGGCCAACGTTTCGGAGGATTTCACCATCTTCACAGCTTAGGAAGGTCAAGTTAACTCAGGCCTAGTCAGTTAAATACTTCCGAAACTTCGACAGAAAACCGTGACATTTAAATTCCAGTCGCTCAGAAACAAAAAGGCTTTTCCACGCATTCACCATTTTCCATGGATCTGAGTACTCCATGTGGAGAGCAACTGCACAGAGTTCATATGAATGGGTATTGTACCTCTTTCAGGTTAAAATATTATCTTAACGTATTGTATGAGATCACATACGACAACGCGGAATTTTTCCCTGCGGTTCATTTCTAGATTCTTGGACTCTTTAGATGCTCCAGGAAGTATTTCGCACAAATGAGAGAGTTGGCACTGGGGCACCCGCAGGGAGCAAGCCACGCCATTGAATTTATGTCTAAAATGGCAGCTTCAGTAGTCGATCCTCGACCAATATTCTGTTGTAGATACATGGATAATTGTTTCGCTATCTGCTCCGCACAAGAGGAGATGTACAAATGTTATGCGCAGTTAAACGAATAGTCAGAGGACATAGAATTTACCCGAGAGAAACCGAAAGAAAACTGACTTCCATCCTTGGACGCTCAAATTAACCTATCCGGAAATGGCTACGACACGAAATGGTATCGAAAGCCAAGCAACAAAAAGATACTGGTTTATTACCTTTCCCTTTATCCTTCAAGTGCATGTGGGAAATATATCCCGAAAAGTCAAAAGTGCGTGCTCAGAAAGAAAGCAGAAGGAAGAACTCTTGAAATTGACTTGTCAAGTAGCCATTTCCAATGGCTACAAAACCGCATCTCTTCGAGAGAGGTTTACGGAAAGAACCATGGCCCCAAACGATTGTCTAAAATATGGCCCGTTTGTTCTGCCCTTCACTTTCAACGAAACAATCACAACTATAAAACGTTGCTTAACATTCTTGCCACGATACCCAATTTTGGTTTTTGGCTAAGTGGAAGATTCCTAATTTTTCGTTGTACTCATTGTGACACCTATGAAGGTCACGTCGGTCACTTCAGCAGTTTTTAGTTGGCTCCACCCCTTTTCAATGTGATTTCCATTTGATCAACCGGTCTTTCTCTGCGTTTTGAATGAATCTCTGCGGCATTGTTCTCGCAGAGGACTCTAAAGCTTCAGCGCATAAAACTCTCGAAATATTCTGGTTAAATTTCAAGAATCCAGAACCAAACTGCAAAAATGAGTTCCTCGTTATCGCATGTGATCTTACGCAATATCTCAGACTGTTATTTTAACGTGAGAGAGCCACTACACATCCATGTGAACGCTGTACGGTTGTTCTCCACGTGTAATACTCTAAGGAAAACTATTAGAAAGCGGTGATTGTGTGAAGAAACTGTTGGGTTTCCAATGCGGTTGAATTGTTCTGGTTTTTCTGTTGGAGCTATGGAGCTATTACGGGGGATGACTGTGCTGCTGTTAACTCAAGCTACCCGGGAATTGAAGAAGACTAAATCAAACGTCAGCTTTCGTGGATAAATATGCAGTATAATAACAATTTCATGGATGTCTATCAAGAAAATTACAGGAAAAACAGTTACTGATCGCTCCGTAACCCATAAAAATGTAAGAAAAAACATTCCGCTCTACACAAAGTTTTCTGAAATAAATCGAATCATAGTGTTCAGATAGAAGATTTTCAAGTGACAACAAAAAAGCTGCAACGTCAAGTGTACTTTAGTTGAACTTAAAAAGGAAGACGAGGCGGAATTCACACCATGACTTACTTTCCAATGGACGATTCTCTTGCAGAGAACTGATTGAACTCAAGTTTGTACCAACGAACGAAGACGTACCCATAGTTTGGAATTCGTTCAACTAAAAGCATATGAAGGCTTAAGTTGGCTGAACTAAAAACGCAGGTCCAATAATTATTAGAATAGAATGGAATAAGAGAAGACGGAACCACTTACCTTCCCAAATCGTTCTTGATCATATCTGTTGTACATTCCCACAAACTTGGCCGGTTGAGATTTTGATGAATCAACCCCGCGTTCTTTCAACCGTGCTGCTTCTTCGCGCGACTAAGAATCAACGGTGTAAGAGATAAATGATCCAGATATAGATTTAACTTTGGCGAAGATTTCAGGTTACTAATGGAATAAGTCTTTATTTATCACAATCACGATCTCCATGGATCTTTCACAACTGTTTATAATTTCCGGTAATTAGAGCATTTGAAGAATTTGGAATCTAATGAACACCTATGAGGTTTTTCCGTGTCAACATATACATACCGCCTAACTTCAAGATACTATTCTCACCTTTAATTTGCACGGAACCCAAGCTTAAGAATTCCTTAAGCATTGTAAGCAAGGGTTCTAGTAGTTTCTGTCCATTATGAGCCGAAACATGTTTGCACAAATATGAATAGCTAAGTCATGACTGGCCAGATGTGAGCCATATATGCGTCATATTGCTGCGAATTTGATAGTTAAAGTTACGCAACCAAAAATTTAGAAAGAGCAGATCAGAACAGCCTTGCGCACAAACAAAAAATGGGACATTAAACAAACTCCTTCTTAAAATAAACTAATTTCCCCAAAACCACACCGATCAACGCTTCTGCTAAGCCCAGCAAAGTATTATCAAACCATATAAAAAGAACTAAGACATTCTCTCCGACACGAACCTAACTCTGTTCTTAAGCTTGCTTTTGAACTTAATAGATAAACATTAAAGTTACTTTAATCCCAACGCAGTGTCAATAAAAATTCTTCTAAAATAAAACAATTGTGACTGGTACAAGGACTCACCTTGATTAACTTTAACACATCAAAGAGGAACGTGTACGTCTTTTTAGAAGCATTCATAACTGTCTTTCGTGTCCGATACACACGTTCTACTTTCCGGACATCCATGGAATAACGGGTAACAAGTGGCTCGGTAGGAGCACCTCCAGCCATAATATCTCTGAAGGATGTTGTAGTACCGAATATATAGTAACTCAGATAATTTTAGAGCGTACGGGTCAACAGCGGCAATTTTCGTTTTTTGGTGAGTAAGTCTCTTTTGCTTAAGAGCTGCAATCTTGTCCGCAGTAAGAGAGTCATTTAAAGCTCGTACTTCAGATGGATCAACGCGATCCTTATTCAAGAGTTGGTCCACTCGAGGCCTGAAACTTTAGGAATATCAAAGTGATGCAAATAGAACTGAGTCGAACTCGCAAGATCAACCGAAGACAAGCAGAAGTTCTACACAACACGTAAACACACCGTGCATTATGCTCCAATTTCAATTTCTTTGCCTCAGGCTCCTCAACCGTTTCCGGAACAAGTCGACTAATGGCAATGCCAGGAGCGGGTGCATGTGATGGATTATGATTGGTGGGGATTTCTAGTCGATTTCCACTTAAATAATCAAGGATTTCCCTTCTGAAAGAAGTATACTTCTATAACCAGTACATCAATGTTAGAAGTCGAACATTCACCGATCGGGACGTGAAACGACTTTCACATTAGCAGCAGTAGCGTCACGAACATAGGATGGATGAGTTTTGGCGCGATGTTCCCAAAGAAACAATAACGCATCTATCGTGTAGTAGTCGTTCTGCTTACCATACACCTAAACTTCTATCGCTGTCCAGAAATCATGTTCATCAATATTGCATTGTTCCAATTTTACCATGTGGCTGGAAGAAGGGATGTCATTTTTTGCCTCCTATTTTCAACAGCAAATTAAGGATTAAGGAAAAAAAGGGGGCAAAGCTCTCAACGTTGATCTATCCCAGAGGGTTGCGCCATGCACTCGAATTCACTAAGCATCGTCAGAGGTGGATGAATGCATATCTAACTCGCACTGGCCTACCGATGTATCGAGCCAGTGCTTCTGCCTTTCCGGAGAAGTCTAGGGCCAATTTGCCGACCCCGGAGGGATGGAGGGCTTGATGAACCTGGGGCGCAAGGATCGATCCGATGCGTATTGCAGGGCACCTCCGCCCACTGCGTTATACTCGCACGTAAGTAGATTGAGGACATAGGAATAAATGTATTCAATAAAAATTTAAACAAAACGAGTAAAAGCTCCTATACATAGCAAGTGCGAAACTCACATAGAATCAACTACGAACAGAACCTACCAGGAGATTCGTCTCAGTATCCTTGTGATACGCTCTATCACCAAAGGCATAGTACTTTTCGTTATTCTGAAAGAACGAGGAAACTAAAGAAATAAGGTAGCATTTACTAACAAAGTAGATAAGTGATAAGGCCATCCTATGCAAAAAAACTTACGTGGATGATTTCCTTCATGGAAAGCTGCCCTGAGGCAACTTCGCACAGATATCGCAAAATTTCGCTCATTCTTCCTCTACAATACGGCAGAATTAAACGTAAAAAAGAGTTTACCTCGATAGGAGCGATATTTCAGCAAATGCAAACATTGTACCAACAGAACCACACGAAGCCAAGCATTTAAACACCAACAAAGTACGGAGACGAGTAAGAAAAAAATTTAAACGATGTAAAATAAAAGTTAAAAAACAGAAAGCTTTGTAAAACCCAAGATAAAATTGGCAAGAACGATTGAGAAAAAGTGATGGAGCAAAAAAAAAACGTATAAATGAGAGCATGAAATATTCCGTAGAATTTAGTGTAAGTCCGTAGTTACGTATTAAAGCTTCTCACGCCCAATGGGAGAAGATCACGTTGGTGAGTGTTGTTGAAGAACGGACGAGTAGGTATGCGCATCAGGTTTGGTATATGGACTGGATTTAGGCAACGTGTCATTCAGGGATTCAGTTGACACTTGCGTGCACGCCTACGCACCATTACTTCGGATTCACCTAAGATGAGCTGCTGTTTTCACTAGCTGTGTCACCTGTTGCCCTGTTGATCGTCGAGTAACTCGAGCAGGCACCACTAAATTCCACTTCTCCCTGTCGCCAAGAGTAGCCCAGTGGGTCCTGCTCGCTTTAGAGACTCGTTGAGCATAGTAGCTTTCTTCTAGGCTTTTCGTGAAAAGCCCTGACCATCGGGTCGGTAGTCTTTCTGCTGTGCGTTTGATGAAAAAAAGAGTGAAACTTTCGGCTTTGATCAAACCCTGAGTGATGAACCGTGCATTTGATTTCATTAGTTATCGTTAGAGGTGACTGGGTGCATATCTGGCCTTTACAATGACTCATGGTGGCCTATCGATATATCGAGCCGGTGCTGCTATCCTCCCAGAGAAGTGTAGTACCAACTCGTCAACCCCGGAGCGGTGGAGAGTTTGGTGAGCCTGGTGCTGGATGGTCGATCCCTTGTGCATTGCAGTGCGCCTCTGACTACTGGGCTACGCGTGCCCATGGGTTTGATATCCTGAGCGCTGGGTAACTGGCTCTGGTGAGGGCTTGGGAATGTCCTAACACGATAATCATTCAACACCACTCGACACTGAGAAGTGTCTAAGAGAAAATGACCTGTATCCAACCCGCTGCACAGCCTCCTGAGTAGAGACCCCAGAAATTGTGTAAATGACGGCTGTTCGACAATTTGGGAAATAGATGAAGTGCTGGAATCCATTCCACATGTAAGAATGGTCTATTTAAGTTAACAAAAACAGTAATATAGGTCTGCTTCTTTTTATTAGAAAACATATATATGTGTATGTATATGCACATATATATGCATATATATAGATATCTACTTGGATACTTGGACGGTCCGTCTTCACGAGCTGTGCGGATCCCAGCATATATGCGATTCGTTCCTTTCTCTCGCAATCGTAGTCCATAGAGGTGGTCTTGTTCGAGTATGGTAGCGCTTGCGAGTCTCGTACCGTGATCTGTAAAACAACTGCAGCTGCGGGTACAGCTGATTAACTTTGTTTACGAACACGTCCGCCCAACGTGTAGGTGGTCGTCCAAGGGGACGTTTGCATTCTCTTGGAGTCCACTCTGCTGTTCTTTTCGTCCATGGTCCATTTCTGTTTCGCTTTCGATGTATAATCTCCTGAATCTCGAAGATGTGACAGAGTTCGAAGGTCAGAGTTTCGCATTCCGGCTACATATTGAGAGTGCCGGTTTTATTTCAGAAGACATCGCTCAAGCGCTCTGTGAGTAGTTCGAAGCATTCTTGACGTAGGAGAGTCTCAACCCACGTCTCTGCAGCATAACAGAGCGCTGGGAGGACCGTAGAATCAAAGAAATGAGCGCAGATTTTTGGGTCCTTCAGTTGGTCAGTGACTTCATTGAGCGGCCCGAATGCGGCCCAAACTGCTCTCCTTCTTCTATTTAGTTCCTCCTGCATGTTGTTTTCTGTGTTCGTTGATCGCCCAAGGTGATCTCTGTAATGAGAGAGCCATCCAATTCAATTTTTCGCCTTCGCACCATGGGTTTTTCATGAGCTCGGTCTTCTTTCGAATTGGGCGAAGTCCGATCTTTTTCCCCGCTCCATTGAGCTCGTTGATCATCGCCTCTGCTTCACTAATACTTCTTGAGAAGATGACAATTTCGTCAGCACAACGAAAGTTTGATAGGAATCTTCCATCAATACGTATATACCTTTCTCATCCCAATCGAGTGACTTCATTATCCACTGCAGTGCAGCACTGAACAGCTTTGGCGATATTATGTCGCCCTGTCGAACTCCTTTTTCTATAGCTATTGGGATTGTGGAACGGAAAAGGTTGGTGTAGAACGTTTCCACTATTAATTCTATATCATGGCGGGAAGTTTTGACGATCCCGTCTTCGTTCATCAGGGCTGACAGCGGAACATTATAATCACACAAGTCCCGACGGCATTTTTAAGGCTGCTTCTTTTCTCTGCTGCTTCCAGTATTTTTTTCTGCTTGTACCGATGTAGATCTTTCTGCAAAGCTCTTCTGCAGGTGGCATTTATTGCTAGCCATGTTAAACCTGTTGCAGTTGGATCAAGCTTCAGTTTCCTTCTCTATTCGAGCAACTTCTTAGTAGTAATAGAGATGCGATCCGATCTTCTTGCTTGAAGAAGTGAAGCGAATTTGGCACAGTTTTTCAATCTTTCGACAACCAGCTCGTTGTCTTCGGTCGGGTCTTCTTTAATCTGCCAGTCACGTTTGGATAGTACTTCGTTCAGAATGTTCTCGTCGTATACAGCTAGACTTTTCCTCGTGGTCGAGGAAGAGAGTTCTTTTCCAGCTTCCGGTTGAATCGAATCTTCGTGCGAAGAAGGCGGTGATCGGAACCAGTACAGAATGACGGGACTACCGGTGTGTCAAGTAAGCACCATCTTCGTCGACGAGATGGACAATGGACGGGTGGACGACGAAGCCTACGCCACTGACATTTCGTGACGGGACTTTTTCTCCACGAATCACAAGGGTCCCTTTGTTCAGTTGCCGTATGTCGGTTTTCTTGATTTTTGTTTCTTGTAATGCGATCACGTGAAATCCAATGCAATCTGCGGCTCCAAGAAGGACGTGAAGACCGGCGTCTGTGGAGAATGTTCTGGCACTATACATGCATAGTAAAAAACAGTTTCCATGGCATTTCGTGCGTATGTTCGTCAAATCCGGTTCCAATGACGTCTTGCGTAACCCGAGATTTTCTGGCCTCTCACCGTTCGTCACACCGCCTGACGTCATAGACGGGAGCACCCAGTGTGCGGGGTACTGAGGCTGGCCTATTGCTGGTCGTGCAACTTGGTCCTCCCTGGAAACCCGACTTAACTTTGTAGGGGCGTATCCAGGTCTTCATCACGATATGGATCAGAGGGAGGTGTGTTTTCGGCGAAGAATCCTTCGTTCGGTCTTCCTACTAGTTGATTCGGAGAGTTGTTAAAACGGAAATCAGAAACGAAAGTAGAAATGTAAAAGTAACATGTATAGATATTAACATAATATAATATAACTTAACATGAACTGGTTAACTATTGACTATTTAACTGTAACGTATATAGATATATAGATATATATATATAGAATATAGAAATCAATACCGAAAGTTAAATATGGAGTGGTATAGCAGTTGCTAGTGGAAATTAAGTCTTTGAGCTAGTTCTCGGTACCTTATGATCACTAGCTTTGAGTAGGATGCTCGACTTCGTAGAAGTTGCCACGAGGGACTATTTCTTGCTTGTCGCAGAGCAGCATCTCAATCTTGGGTAATTAAACCGTTTTAACAATAACAATTCAAGAATAACGAAATATAAACATTGGTACAATACAACTGCAATATTGTATCATGATCAATAAATGAGGGTAATGCGGGTTAGTATCTTTGCTATAGGCCAGTAAAACAGTGCCATGTGGATTTAGAATACCTCAAGAGTGTCACAAGATCCAGGCGCATCAAGGGATTTATATAAGGCCGTAATACCTGACTCACAAACAACAATGCTAAAGACTGACACACTATATGTAGGCTTGTGATGTGGCTCTGATGAGGTTAACACGTTAAGAGCGCCATGTAAACTTGTTGTAACATTGCGATGTGGTTATGTATTAACTTGTGGGTACAATGCGACCAGGTTAACGTATCAAAGAATGCATATAAGCGTATGAGTATACTGCGATGAGGTTAATGTGAACACACAATAGAGTTAGCGTGTTCAGAGGTACATGACAGCAAAGTTAATATACAACAGTGGCCGCATACAACAAGAGAGAATACCTCGGTTTAACTACAAGGCACATTACACATGATGAACAGTCTTCTGGAGGAGGAGGTGCTTTGGCATAGGTCCAGAACCTTTACCGAAAACACCCATCAACTTCCGTCTTCAGCTCTCTCGTGATCAGATGACTGAGGACGATTTGCCGGACAGCTTCGTGTCCTATTGTGTTACCGTACCCGTGATGGTTCGGAACAGATGCAACATAGAAAAGGTTCCGATTGTGTGAAGGGTGTGGATCACAAAGGATGTTTACGACAGCCAAAGTTTCTCTCAACGAAGTTGAAACGTTTACACGCTGCAAGAACGCAAAGTGATGTGGGCGGCCACGAATACAGTTACCACAAACCTACGATATGATGAAAGAATAGTAACTATTCTGGAAATAGTTGCTATAAGTGGATTAATGCAACAAAAGCATCGGGTTTAAAGCCCTCAGTTATTTCTTGGCTTAAGAACGACCATCCAACATGTTCTGTCCTATACCTGCTTATTAAGACACATAAGCTTACTTCCTCCCCAGCAACTTACCACCTTACCTTGGCTGTGAGGTGCTCCTGGGTGTCGGACTGCAATGTACAGCGGCGATATTCATTTCCCTGGCAGGGTCTCCCAAGCTGAGAAGGAGTCCGGCGTTTCCATCAGGAAACCTAGCACAGGTTAAACCTATACCAGGATCCACCACCGTCCTGGTATCAAATGACGACATTGCGTCCACCGATCCGTCATCATTTAAAGTAAGAGCAATCATCAGTTGTGTATATAGGCCAACGAATAAAACAGCGTGGTTCCTAAACTTTATCCCGATCCAGTTGTTGAAATTCATTCCAACCCATTTACCCAACACCGAATATTTCTAGATCACCTACGGTGCGCGCAACCAAACAACACGCATGTAATGGAGTCATTCGATGTTACCTCACTCTGTGCCAACGTGCCCAATGACTCCCCAATGCAAGCCATTCTCGAGTTGCTCGTAGAGCACGAAAAGAAAATAAAAATGTACGGCTTGTCGATTGCGCGACTAATGACTCTCTTAAAACAGTGTCTTAGTTGTTCAATCTTCAGGTGCTCTGGAAAATATTTTATCCAAATTAGAGGGTTGGCCATGGGACAGCGATTATCACCAAGCTTTGCCATCGTTTTCATGCCTAAGGTGGAAGCTCCAGCTTTCGATCATCGACCCTTACCCCACTGTCGATACATAGACCACTGCTTCATCGTCTGTTCCACACAAGAACAGATGGATGAGTGCTTTAAATTGTTAAATAGACAATCAGGGTAAAATTCACACGGAGAAACCAACCGAGAACTGGCTTCCATGCTTAAACATTCAAATAAAGCTCTCAGAAAGTGGCTATATAACAAAATGGTATCGTAAGGGGCGCCTGTAACGCAGTGGTTGGCGGCGCCGCTGTGACACACACGCGGAATCGATCCCCGTGCCCATGGGGTCTGCAAATTGCTATCAGACTTGTCTGGGAGGATAGCAGCACTGGTTCGATACATCGGTAGGCCATCGCAAGTCGTTGAAAAGGCCAGATATACCGTTTTCTAACAATAGTTAATGAAGTCGAAGTCATGGCGTGTCCTTTATGGATTGATCAACGCCGAGAGCTTTATCCCGTTTATTCTTATACGGTTTGCGTGAGTGTTTGTTCCAGATTTTGTTTCAGAACAAGTTGCAGGTCTGTGTGACAGGTCTTTCCAATGCTTTCTCATTCGCTAATTAACCAGAAGATATCGGAGGTAATGGATATACGATTTGATTAAGTAGTAATGTAACCATCTGAAAATGACTTCGGTTCGTCGATGTGTTATCGGAAGCACTATAGCTTGTTTTGGTGTTACCGGAACCCACTACCACAATAACACAAGATAAATATCTTTGCTGCCCTAACTTGTTACTTCATTTCTGAGTGTTTTTAACATATGCCAAACGGCCTCCGATATCGCTTATTAATGGGCCACATCAAGGAGTGGGTAGCACAGTGGTAGTGATGTCTGTTAGCATGAACATGGTGCTAGTTCGATTCCGTTTTTGGTCAACCAAGCTTCTCATCCCTCCAGGGTCGAGTAGTTGGTACCGAACTTATCTGGGAAAACCATTTTGTCAATTTGAAGCTCTTACACCAAAAGTTACACAATTATCCAGCCGATTCCTTTTTACACGCTTTTTGACCATCTCAAGACTTGAAATCAGCAGGATTCTAACAGTTACTTTACTTCTTTCCTCTTTTCCTTAAAAATGATGAATGCTAGGTGTCCTATCTATCAAGTGCCCACAACGAATCCCGCTTGAACAAACTGAGTATTGTGAAGTGTAGTTTTCGGTGTATTCGATCTGCACGTGTTAATTTTCTGATTTAAGTTCTGCATTATTGGCACTGATCAATGCTCCATTATAGTTTCTCGTCTGAATGCTTTACTCGTTTATAGCGTGATTCGATTAGACTGGCGTTAGCTTTCTACCTTCCTACCTCGTTCTTGTTCTCAGAATTCTTTCTGGCACTGTCTGGCGATGAGATGTGGCTCTTGTGAAGCTTTGACAACGACGGTTAAGGATTTTCAACAACGAAAATTATGGACTACCACAGACAACGTGATAAGAGCGACGTAGATGGATTAGCATATCGACGCCTGCAAAGGGCGTCATTGACGGCAACCGGTCAGCAAGTTTCAACGCATGTCAAAACATTTATTGTAATAACTGCGTAACGCCTGTATAACTGTTTTGCCTTGTAAAACTGTACCCTATTCGTTTCCAGTTATAGTCACCATATTGTCATAAAAATTATAAATCTAAGAAATCCAGCAAAAATATTTGCCTGTTAAGCTGATTTCTATTCTGTTATCATATCAATGAAGTTGACTAACATTCTGCTAAAATGCTTTCGATTTCATTGAAATGATTTGCTTCTCGTATAATCCATTTATATACCGTATGCTTCGATCTGCTGTACGGACCCCGAGCTCCGAATTAATCAAGTCCTCTATCATTCGGATTCTCGAAAAGAAACACTAAGTTGATGCGTCCCAGATCTACTGTGTATACAGTCACGTATACGATGCTCCGAATGCGATCCAATGCGCGGCATAGCCCTGGTCGATAAATCAGAGCTGAAAGTTTTATCTTCTATCACTTTTCAATTCTATAAAAACCCTGTTTACAAAATGCAATCCATGTTGTCAGTCATTATTTTTCAGACTTTTTTGTTTGTAAATCGTCGCATAGGTCGAATTTGAATGTCCGCAAGCAGTTTTTCAGTTCTTTTAGTTTAGTTTTTAGTTAGTTAATTTAGTTTTTTAGTTTTAGTTCTATTTTTAGTTCTAATCGAATGTAAAATTGAAAAAACACGTTACAGAATTAATTACACTCCGGTTACAATGAGGTGAGGTACATTCTATAGGCCTGTAAAGCCCTCGTCCATTACTTATTAATGAAGAGTTCATAGCCTGTTGTCGAAAAATCAGCATCGTTAAGAATGTTTCGGTAAGAAGCCCAACATGTGTAGGAAGACGACAAACAATGAGCCGCTCATTAAAACTTAAGATACTTTGGTGAGCAAAACAAGTGAAAAAATAAGTCCCTGCTTCACTTTTCAAATCATTTTCTATGCTCTGCGAAAGGCGTGTGTGGCGCAGTGATCGGAGGTGCCCTGCAACACACACGTGGAATCGATCCCCGTGCCCATGGCCCACCAAGCCTTCCATCCCTCCGGGGTCGGCAAATTGGTACCAGACTTCTGGAAGGATAGCAACACTGGGTCGATACATCAGTAGACCACCGCGAGTCATTGTAAAGGCCAGATATGCATTCAATCACCTCCAACGATACTTAATGAAGTCGAATGCATGGCGCATCCCTCAGGGTTTGATCCACGCCGAGAGCTTTATTCTTTATTAAAGTGATTTAAGAAGTTGATTTAAGATGCTCCTGCCTCTGTTAACGCGTTTTATATTACCTGATCT